CAATGGTCAAGCTGAGGCTTCCAACAAAATTGTGATAAATTTGCTTGGGAAAATGGTTTATGATAATCCAAGGCATTGGCATGAGCTACTATTTGACACACTCTAGGCATACAGAACTATAGAAAGGAGTTCTACCAAGGTAACACTATTTTCTCTAACTTATGGACATGATGATGTTTTGCCTATGGAGTTATCTACCAGGTTGTTGTGTATAGTAATTCAACATGGACTTACTTTTGGAGAATATAATGATGTAATGATGTTAGAACTTGAGGACCTTGAAGACATGTGATGGCCTTGGATAAGATGTAAATGCAACAATTAAAGGTGGCTCAAGCATACAATAAGAAGGTGAAGTCTAAAAGTTTCTCAAAAGGTGATTTGGTCTAGAAAGTAATTTTGTCACCTAGAAAGAAGGATCCCAAATTTGGAAAATGATCTCTTAATTATGAAGGACCATTTCACATCCATGAAGTGCTTAAAGGGAGAGCATATTGGCTTGAATAATTAAGTGAAGAGTTACACTCTCAAAAAATAAATGGTATCTACCTTAAGTCTTATTATCCTATGGTATGGGAGGCTAGAGGTCTAGATGCTACGAATACTGCCTGAAACATATTTAGGGCAAGAACTATATAGTACTTTCTTTTCTTATTTAGCATTTTATAATTCAATAAATGTGCTGAACTGAATATATAAGCTGGCTAAATCTAGCCATGAGCAATTAGAGTGGCCAGATTCTAACCATGATAGATTTGAACCTTCTATAGAACAAGAACAAGGCATGCAACAAGCAAGTTCCCACAAGCATGGACTTGGAAAATGCTTGTTAGTCTACTTTTAAATCTGTGTGGAGTTTGTTGCACTGCATTGCCAAGTTTTGCTCTATTTATTCTTCCTCTATGAGCTAATTCTTCAATTTTGCAAGCTTGACCTCAAGGTTTAAGATCTCTTCTTTCAAATCTTGAAGTTATTTAACACGTGCATTTGGGTGGTTGAAATCTAACATGCGGCAAGGGTGGAGTTTACATGCAATTTATTTAATTAAAAACACTTGGACTATTTCCATAAAACTAAGTGTTGAGGGGTATTGTTTACATTATAAATTGCAAAAATTTAAGATTATGACACATGTCTAATATTTTCAATGGATGGAGATGATTTAGCCATGTCAAATATGCAATTCTGGGTCCCACGACAAATCAAGTGTCGTATAGAAAAGAAAGAGTTGAAAATATAAGATTTTATCTTTTGGTTGCCTATTTGAGTCAAGTTGGGTTTGTTTTAGCTAGATTTTATGAGTTTGTTTCAGTTATGGATGTGAGTTGGCCAATAATGGAACAAATGGTGAAATCTAGATGGAATTATGACTCTATCAACTGTTTAGGTGTCCCATTTTTTTAAGAAACTGCCCATGATTTGAGTAACTACATGGAGTGGGAGTTGCAGGTGGGGAAGAGGAAAACAAAAGAAAAATTTTTTATCATTCAACGCACAGCCAGCCTTACGCATAACTTGAAAAATTTTCAGATTTTTAATTTCTCTGCAATTGCTCACTTTAGCTTACAAATTTCATATTTCAACACAATTCCCAATAGATTTAGGTTGTTTTTCATCATTCCAGTTGTCAAATTATGTAACAACATGAACAGATAGTTTTTAGACACTATTGTAGATTCTAGCTGAAATTATTGTCATAATAGGTTTCTATTCATAGGTGGACAAGTTCTTAACTACATTAAAGTTAGAAATCATTTAACCACTTCATAAAGAATGTTCTTAAGCTCAAATATAACTCACTAGCATATAACCATAAGTTCCAAAATGGATTTTATAAGCATACAAACCACAAGCTTAGCTTGATTTAGGCCTAGTCCCAGAGCTTAATTGAACATAATAGCATATGTACATAGCTAACAAAAGGAATAGCTCTCTCTTGTTCTTCTTCTTTCTTTGTAGAAAATTGTATTTTGTATACAAAAGAACTTTTAGGTGACTAGCTTGTTTACAACTAGCTATGAGCCATGACAAGGTTTTGGTTAGAGAACAAGTTTGTGTTACCAACTCAGTAGCTAAGCTATGCTTTTTAGCTAATTGAAGTATTCTTAGGCTTCCCAAGTATTTATAAGCTGCCATATAACACACAAACTTGTAACAATAGGGAAAAACAATATTTCCACGAGCTATAAGGCTTAATAAGTAACTAATAGCTTAACAAACTATAAAAATTCAAAAATTTTAAACTAGAAACTGTTCTCAACAGTATTCCATATAGTTCTCTACACATTTGATGATAAAATTTCACTAGAAACCTATTCACTCCAAGTAGATGCTTACTTGGTCTCCATTCTAGAACAAACTAGAAAAATATGTTCCTTTACCTCAGGAAATATAAAATCAGCCCCATCAAACACTATTCTTCAATACTGAATAGTGTCTTTAGTGTCATAAATAAATATGCAATAAATACTCCCACTAACATAAGATAATAGCAAGGCAACCTCATGCTTGTTCAACATGTAGATGAATGCAAGTTCTTAACTATAGATTTTTCCTTATGGGTGTACATCCTACCTTACAAATGGCCCAGCCATAATTTTTGTGATTTGTAAAGGATCTAATAATATCTTTTTACACTCCCAATCCAACTGGGTTTCATATTCCCAATCCAACTGGGTTTCATATTCCCAGTCTAATTGGGTTTCATATTTCTAGTCCAACTGGTTTCATATTCCCTGTCCAACTGGGTTTCCAACTAGCTTAATTGCACTAGCAATTAATTCACTAGAAAAATTCTAGAAAAATATAGAAAATGTAGAAGTTACCCAGACCATTTCAAAGATAAGTTAACCATAAGTGCCCATCCTTAAATTTTTGCTTAAACTTCAGAGAAGTTAACTTAATTTTGTTAAGCTTAAAAGTTACTTACCTTAGATTAAATAAGGTTGGACCCAAAACTCTTCCAAAACTCTCAGTTTTGTTGCTGCCCCTTGCTGCAAGGCCAACACTCTATTTTTGTTTGCTTGTTTGGTGCTAGAACAGAAGAAAAAAATGAAATTTGTTTTGGTCTTACCCCTCTAAAAGCATCCTAATTCTAACTAAAGCTAGTGAGATTTTAATGCATTTCACCATACGTCTCTCACTGTTGTGCACTCACATGCCAAGTGTACATTTACATGTCATTAGTTTACCCAACCATTTGTTTAGTAAACATTGCTATGAAATCAATCCCTAAACTTCTCTTAATAGTACAAGACCTCAACTATTAAGTTTCTAACATTTAAGGACTAAACTTTTAATATTTTTACATTTAAAGATAGAGATGTTTCAAATTAGTTTGTGTATTTGCTTCAGCAATTTCATTTCTTGTAATGAACATCAAGCTTTGAATGTCTGCAAGGTACTGTTCTTTTTTTTTTTTTTATTGGTATTAGTTTAATGTTTATGATAAGTAGTGTTTCGTAAAATGATTACTTATATAGCATTCACGCTTCTTCTCAATTTTGGGCATGTTAATTTAGTCCCTATTTGTATTTACTTTAGTGTTATTTAGAATTAGATCTCTAATTCTACAGTAGTTTAATTTCTAAATCTATTTGTAGATAACAGTTTAATCTAACAATGAGCATGCTTAATTTAATTTAGGTACATCTTATTTTTGTAAGTTTATTTTAGTTTGCATGCCATTTAGTTCACTTAAGATTTGTTAACTTTGATTCATGATAGTATTTAAGTCCTTGAAGTTGTTCAAAACAGATTTAGTAACCAATTCTGCAAGAAGGCATCCCTCCTTATTACAAATCATCTGTAGATATAGATTTTAATTTTAAACGAACATTCTTCTCACCATTTACAAGTAGATCGACCATGAGAAAGGAGAAGATCATTGGAAAAATCCTTTCTTCTTGTTTTCAGCAAAATAAGTGGTATGCTCGCATCCAGATTTCGTACTTGCGAAGCCACTTGAGGATTTTTGAGAAAACACCTACAGAATAATATAAATTGATATAAATAATTTATATAAATAAATTTTCAATTCAAAAATTAATTTTTTAAAATATTAATTAAAAGTTGAATTTTTAAATAGGTTTCCATAATTTTTTTAGAACGATGTGCAAAATTCATTTTTCTTTTTATATTTTACAATTCAATTTTCTTTAATACAACGTTTAATAGAATAACAATTTTTCTCCACCCTATGACAATTATTTTGAATAAAATTTTTATTTTTTTTCTAGTTACAGTGAATTAACACCAGGGAACTTAGGTCTTTTGAGTTTGGCAGTTTTGACATTGAACGTTTCTTTTAGAGGGTTTTGTTATTGTAGATTAAGTTATTGCAATGGAGGATAGTTTCCAGCTTCTAAATAAATATTCTCTGAGTCTTTTTTGCAAGGGCTAAAGTTGGGTTAAATATAGTTTTCTAAAATGTGCTTCTTCGTTTTTTGTTTTTTTTTTCTAAAAATCTGTTTTTATGCATTGATTCAACACTTAATGAGTAGAAGCTCTACTCAAACAGTATTTAAACTAAATAGACTTTAAAAAAGTTTAAAAGTCAGCAAAAGAAAAATGGATGGGAGATTTTAAAACAAATTTGGTATAATTACAATGTTACATTGCATTATAAGTTTACAATATGACGTATCATTATATAATAACTTTTTTCATTTAAAAATTTATTTATAATATTATATGTATTTATTTATTTAATATAACATTATAATTATGAATTTATAATTCTATGTGCCATTATAACTATAGCATTGATGATTTTAACAGCCAAAGATTTGCAATCAAACTCTTGGACATTTCCTCCGCAAGGTAAAGGCTATCGGTTTGAAAATCCAGATTTCTACTGCATATTTGCTGTCATGAGATAAATTTTGAAGGCTTCTTCTATCAAAAGGCAACTGTAACCCATTTTTCTTTATAAAAAAATCTCAAGGATCAAAAACCAGGAGAGCAACTCAACAATTAACGAGAAAATGATGGGGAAGAAAAGCAAAAATGCTAATTTATTCATGCAGGAATAGAGTTAAGGCAGAAAGCTAGTACAACGTAGGTTAAAAGACATGAAGAAGAGTAACTATAGTAATATATATAGAAGCTTATCTCAAATAAGTCAAAGAATATAAAGAAGTTTCTGCCCAAAGCTTGTAAGAGTTTAGATCTTCAAGAGAAGAGCCAAAGAGGTCCATCTCTATGCCACAGCGGGCATGTCTCTGAGCCATGGATCTAATGGCTTTCCAATCGAATACACAATGAATCCAATCTCCCTCAGCTTCTCAGGATTGACAATGCTACGACCATCAAACACAAATGCAGGCTTCTGCATGTTGTCAAAAATCCTCTGGTAGTCTAGTGTCTTGAATTCATCCCACTCTGTGAGAATGCATAGACCATGAGCATCCTTTGTTGCTTCATAAGCATCCCAAACCACACTCACTTGCTTGACTGTAGTAGGGCTCATTGGCTGAAGATGTACTGGGTGATCCCAATCAAACTTGTTCATTGAGAGGTCTCTCTGGATCTGATCATCAGTCACCTGAGGATCATATATGCTTAAACGAGCCTTGTCACCTAGTAGCCCCTTGCATACATCAATGGCTGGTGTCTCCCTGGTGTCACCTGTATCCTTCTTGAAGGCAAATCCCAGGACAGCAATCTTCTTTCCAGAAACTGTGTTGAACATAGAAGAGACAATCCTGTTTACGAATCTGTTCTTCTGGTAGTCATTGACCTTGATGACTTGTTTCCAGTAACTTGCAACTTCAGTTAGGCCATTGCATTCACAGATATAAACCAAATTAAGTATGTCCTTTTGAAAGCAAGATCCACCAAAACCAACACTGGCATTCAGGAACTTGGGACCAATTCTTGAGTCTTTGCCAACGGCGTGGGAGACTTGAGACACATCTGCCCCAGTCGCCTCACAGAGAGCTGACATTGCATTAACTGAAGAAATCCTCTGTGCCAAGAAGGCATTGGCTGCAAGCTTTGAGAGCTCAGCAGACCAGAGATTGGTGCAAATGATTCTGTCCTCAGGTACCCAATGAGCATAAACATCTTTCAGTGCTTGAATAGCCTTCTGGCCTTCAGGGGTTTCCCTGCCTCCAATCAGAACCCTGTCTGGATTGAAAAGGTCCTGGATTGCAGTTCCCTCAGCAAGAAATTCTGGGTTAGAAAGAATCTGATACTTTATGCCCTTGCTGTTGTGGGTCAGGATTTTCTCAATTGCCTCCGCTGTTCTCACCGGGACAGTCGACTTCTCAACAACAATCTTGTTTGATTTTGAGACATCAGCAATCATCCTGGCAGCACTTTCCCAATATGTGAGGTCTGCAGCTTTCCCAGCCCCAAGGCCTTGGGTTTTTGTCGGGGTATTGACAGAAACAAAGATTATGTCTGCCTCAGAAACATGTTTCTCAATGTCTGTACTGAAGAAGAGGTTCTTTCCCCTGCACTGCTTCACCACCTCATCAAGACCTGGCTCATAGATGGGTAGTTGATCACTGTTCCAGGCATTGATTCGTGCCACGGAGATATCAACGACAGCCACTTCAATGGAGGGGCACTTAAGTGCAATCACGGCCATTGTTGGACCCCCAACGTACCCAGCTCCAATGCAGCAGATCTTCACCATTTTCTTGAATTTTTCAAAACAATAAAAGAATTAGAGGAATAAACAAGGACTACCTTATCATCTTTAGCCCCCTCCCCCCAGGAAAAAAAAAAAAGGAAACCCAAAAGTTAAAAAAGGTTCATCTTTATCGGTAAATCGCTGCGCATGCAATCCACTAGGGAAAGCGCAGAATTGTGAGTACAATGCAATGCTGAAAATTGGAACTTTCTGTTTGTTTCCCATGAATTTCTAGTCAGAATTTATGAATTCCAATCTAAAGAGACAACAACTACATAATCAAACCTCATACAGAAATTTCATCAAACAGCTTAATTACATCTCACAAGTACAAACAAAGAACAAAAACACACAAGGGAATAAAGAGAAGATTCAATCAGATATACCCAATAAGAAAAAGAGACTTTACACATGTAGGATTCAAGACGGTACCTTATGAATCTCTCTTAGTGCCCTAGGAAAATAGGAACCCAGAAAAGGCAGTACAAAGGAAAGGAATTTATATCTTGCTCTGGGGCCAAGCCAATGCTGCTCTATTCCAAATTAAGGGGGGTAGAAGTCCTTAAATATCCAACCCAAAGAAACCCAGAAGGAATAGTACACCAGATCTAAGGGGTTGCTTTCATGAACGAAAAGCAAAGTCAGATTCAAAAGAAATGAAGTAGAACGTTCAACACGTTTCCAAGGCAGCAACTTTCAGGAACAAACAAGGGAAACTCATGCCAACAATTTGTCTTAAATTATGGAAAAATAACTGAAGAAGACCCAATTGAAAATCAAGAGTTGGTGTTTTGCACAAAAACAAGATTGCTTATGAAACTTCTTTTCATGGGTATATATGTATCGACCAGGTGGCTCGACTTTGGGGAAGAAAAAAGCTGCACCTCAGTAGCTTTGTTTTTGTAACGTGTATTATAGGCAGTTAGCAATTCAACGTAGCAGCACCGACGTCGTGGAATCGGTTACCTACTTACCTTAGTATATGGTAAAAGCGGAAAAATATATTGAACAAAAATACTCCGTATATCATAAAAACTATTATGCAATCTAAAATTAGGATTTTTTTTAATTCTTTGTAGTTTATGTCACGTAATAAAAGTATATTAATTATATTTTTTAATAAATTTTTATAAAAAACTAAAA